GACCTTTGATTACTAAATGTTTTCCCAGATGACACCAGAAGCACAAACAGCAAAAGATAAGAATGAATAAATAGAATGTTTTTCAATTTAAAAAGCTTATGTTTCAAAGGATACCATCAAGAATGAATAAATAGAATGTTTTTCAATTTAAAAAGCTTATGTTTCAAAGGATACCATCAAGAAGGTTTAAAGACAACCCACAGAATCAGAGAAAATGTTTGCAAATCATATATCTGATAAGGGACTGATGTCCAAAATATATAAAGAACTTTTATAGCCCAGCCATGGAAGCATGTACCAATTGACACTGCTACTTGGCAGGCTGAGACCACACAGGAAGTCCTGGTTGGATTCCTAACCCACACTGAAATCCACACATGGTTGTACACACCTGTAGTCCCAGCTATGCAGGAGGCTGATGCAGAAGATCATGAGTTCATGGCCAGGTTCAGTAACATGGAAAACATTTTGAAATCCTGTCTGAAAGAGCCAGGCATGATAGTGTGTGCCTAGTAGAAAAAAATTAAAAAGGATTTGTACAACTTCACAATAGACAACCCAGTTAAAAACTGGACAAATAACTTGAATAGACATTTATCCAAAGAAGATATGTCACTTGCCAATAAGCACATGAAAACATGCTCAACATCATTAGTCATTAGGAAAATGCAAACCAAAACCACAATGAGATACCCATTTCCCTACTGATAGTATGGCTAGAGTAGAAAAAACACACAATTGTTAGAATATAGAGAAATTATAAAACTCATACTTTGCTGGATTGTAAAATGTGCAGTTAATGTGTAAAATAGTTTAGTAGTTTCTCAAAATGTTGAGTATAGAACTGGCCCCATAGCCTAATGGTAAGGGAGCAAGAGCCTACATGGCTGACCATGGTTTGAATTCCAGTCCATGAAACTTGAAAAACGTGCTAGGTGTTTGTGTGCATGCCCAAAATCTCAAGAGGATAAAGAAATGGAGAAGAGATAGTAGAGTGACATGCCCTCTGGCAATTAAATTTGATATGTAGTTACCACATGACTTACCATTTCTACTCCTGGGTATACACACAAGAAGATTAGAAACACATCTACACAAAAACTTTCATCATAATATTAATGGCAACATTATTTATAATAGTTAAAAAAAATAGGAACAACTCAAATACCCATAAAACTGATGAAAAGTTAAAGTTTGGCATATCCTAAAACAGAACATTTATCAGCAATAAAAATAAATGAAGAACTCATATATGCTACAATACAGGCAAACCTTGAAAACATTATACTAAGTAGATGCCAGTAAAAAAAGGCCAAGTATCATAATATCTAATTTATATATTATTCATAATCTTTAGAAAAAGGAAGTGAATGGTTGCCAGGCCTTGGTTGTACATTACATCCAATTCTGGGTAAAGTTGGGAAATTAATCTTCAGTCCCACCAGATACTTGGGTATCTATCTAATCCCGTAAAAGATGTTTTGTGTCTTCAGTTAATTTTCCAAGTAGCAGTATGAAGTGGAAGGGCATTAGCCTCATTAAAAAGTGTTACTTCACTGAGTTATAATCTATATACAATAAGAGTAACTTTTTAAGTTTTCTATAGAGTACATGTGCTTACTGGAGAGAGACAGAGACAGGGAGAAAGAGAGAGAGGGAAAGGGACTGCAGCATGGGCATCTACCCTTTGGGGTGCTTTATCTCTCTCTCTCTCCCTCTCTCTCTTTCTCCCTGTCTCTGTCTCTCTCCAGTAAGCACATGTACTCTATAGAAAACTTAAAAAGTTACTCTTATTGTATATAGATTATAACTCAGTGAAGTAACACTTTTTAATGAGGCTAATGCCCTTCCACTTCATACTGCTACTTGGAAAATTAACTGAAGACACAAAACATCTTTTACGGGATTAGATAGATACCCAAGTATCTGGTGGGACTGAAGATTAATTTCCCAACTTTACCCAGAATTGGATGTAATGTACAACCAAGGTAAATGCAACAGAACTCCAGAGTCAGAAACAAACTTAAATGTACCCATACATTGAAATTATGGCCTATTCACTGGTATTGTTGGGGCAAGGTGGACTTTGTTGCCTACTTTTCCTCTCCAGACTGACTGAACATTTCTCCCCACCCACCTGGGCAGATAGAGTCCCGCCTCCCCTTTCATACACTTTCCTCCACTAGCAAGCATGCTTCCTTCTTTTCAGAGGACTTTTGGAGTAGAGACCTCTTACTTTCAACTTGAGAAAAAAATCCTGAGCTAAAGCAATATTTCAAAAGAAAAGATTATCCATAACACTAACTATGACTAATTCCATCCTTCCAGTGTTTTCCTTGGGTATTCTGACAACTCATGGCTTAATAGATAATGGTACCAATTAACCACGAACCTTCAAAAAAAATAATAAAGTTTCAGATGTGTTCAGGACTGACAAAGGAAGGAGATCATGACTTTCTGAAAATCTGAAAGAATCAAGAAGCTGAACTCAGGTTCTGGTCCTATAACCAAAGTTGATTTTCAGTCTTGTTAAGTATTTGTACCTACTCCAGGTAGGCTGGAGAAATGGCTGAACTCGAGTCAGTAGTTCTCCTAGGTCATCTTCCAGTATATATAATTATTCTGCAAACTGCCTTACTCATGAATATAGCTGTTACATTCCACTGTAGTTTGAATCATGAATTTGAAATAATGGGACATGGGCCAGCCAGTGACATGGTGATTGAGGAAGCTGAATTTCACATGGCTGACTGTGCAGTATGAATTCCAGACTTAGTAGCTTGAGAAATATGCCAGGCACATGTGCATGTATCCCCAAAATCCTGAGAGCAAAGCGAAATGGAAGTGAAGGGATTGTGGCCGGACCATCCCCCATGGTAGGTGCTTTCTCACTTTCCCTCCTTTTCTCTCTCCAGCAAGCCAAACATGCTCTGGCAGATTAAAAAATTAGTGAGATACAAAAATTATTTTTTGCCCAAAGTATATTTGGTTTATTCCAGTGGAAACATTAATAAAATTTTTAACACAGAAATATTCTCTGTGGGACCAGCAGATGACACAATGGTTATGTCGCTGGACTCCCACATAGTAAACCACAGTTCAAGTATAGGACCAGGTGGCTTAAAAAACCTCATGCTGAGTGCATGTGCATGTGTGCCTAAACTCCTGAGAGGAGAATAGATAATGATCTTCCCAGGGGGTGATTTCTCACTTTCCATCTCTCTGTCTCTCCTGCAAGTGCACACACCCTATAGCAAAAATCTCTTTTAAAAAGAAAAGATGGGACCAGCAGTTAGCGTAATGGCTTTGTCACTGGTCTCCCATGTAGTTCACCGTGGTTCAAGTCCTGGACCTGGTGGCTTAAACTCATGCCAGGCCCGTGTGCGTGCATACGTGCTCAAGATCCAGAGAGGAGAATGGAGGAGAAGGGATTGTGGCATGGCCATCCTCCCTGGGGGTGATTTCTTGCTTTCTGTCTCTCTGTCTATGTCTTTCTGGTGAGCGCACGCGCCCTATAGCAAAAACCTCTCCAAAGAAAGAAAAAACAAAAGAAAAAGAAAAAGAAAAATTTCCTATAAGGAGGAATGCATTCCTTACTGTCACTACTTTGTGTTTGTATTCATCAACTCTGGTAATATAGAAAAATGTAAGACACAGTTGCTTAAAAGGAGCATCATCTTTTTTCTAAGAAACACAGTCATACTAGAATATATTACAGAAAAACACATAGTGTTAATGTGAACTAAGAGAAGAGAAACCTACCAGAGTCTGGGGTGTCATGAAGGCATTGAGGAGATAAAGAGAAAAGCCTGAGTTAATTCCCAAAGCTATAGTAAAGAAGGTAAATGGGCAAAAAGTATTTTAAAGAACAGCACCTCAGGCAGAATAATATTTATGTATTTATAGACTTGCAATATATTCAGTCTAGCGGGAACCAATTGTTGAGAAAGGAGTGGTAAAAAAGTTAATTTACAATGGGTAGGTGAGAAAGAGATTTACATTTGGCAAACACAAGCATGCACCCCAGTTTAGTCTCATCCCACTGAGAATGGCAATAAAACCAAAGACTAAGTTTGCAGAGGAAAAGATTTACAGGTCTTCCTTAAAGAAGGCCTTGGTAAAGGTTGATCATGAGCAGAACTGCCTTAAGAGAGCAGAATTTGTAGGGACAGCAGGTGGCATAGTGGTTACAGTGCTGGACTCCCACAAGGTCAACCATGGTTTAAGTCCCAGAACCAGTGACTTGAAAGTCACCCTGCAAAACCCCAAAAAGTGGCAGGTTGAATTGGCTCATGAACTGGTTTGCCAAACTGTTGATGTATTTCATAACTGGATTAAGAATTTAGAAAGAATTATAAAATAGGCCAGCAGATGGCATGGAGATTAAAGCACTAGATTTCCACATGGCTGACTTCATGGTTTGAGTCCTGGACCCAGCGACTTGAAAATCATACTGGGCACTAGTGTGTGCATGCCCAAAATCCCAAGAGGAGAATGGAGGAGAAAGGATTGTGGCATGGCCACTCCCCCACCAATGGGTTTGATTTTTGATTTCTCACTTTCTGTCTCTGGTAAGTACATACACCCTATAGCAAAAATCTCTCAAAAAAAAAAAAAAAGAAAGAAATAGAAAGAAAAAAGAAAGGAAATCACATTAGACACGTGTACATGTGCATCCAAAATCCCAGGAGGAGAATTTATGAGAAGAGATTGCAGCATGACTTCCCCTTCCCTGTGTGGGGAGGGTTATTTCTCACTTTCTCTTTCACTTTCTCTCTCAGTTTTTCTCCAGTGCACATACCCATCCTATGGCAAAAACCTCAATTAAGAAAAAAAGACAGCAGAATTTCAGTGGCTCCTCCAGCCCTACCACTTAGGGACTAGGGTTGAGCTCCTGGCTACAGCTAAAGGGAACAAAGTAATTTCTTCTATCTACTCTTCCCAATCCCCAAAATACTCAATTCTTTTTAACAATTTTTTTATTTGCAACACAGCTCAGTTCCATCACTTAAATACAACATCAGAGTGGAATAAAGACATACTACAAGCATCTCATAGGCCAAGGCAGTTTCCTTCCTCCCAAAGACAGTAAATCCATTTCCCTCGGAGACCCATGCCCAGAGCCAAACTGAACACACAAAACAGGTAAGCCCAGGATGAAGTCAGCTTCAGGTACATTTCACCTTTCTCCACAGCACTTTACCTCCCTCCATCCCCAATCAGGTCAACTCTCAGCTTCAGAGCCACCAGAAAGGTGTTTTTTTGTTTGTTTGTTTTGTTTTGCTTTTGTTTGTTTTTGATAATTAACAGGTGTGTGTTACATAAAATAAGAAAATACCTTATGAAATCTATTGTTCTATAGAAAGTTTAAAATAACCCATCCATGTATAATACCAATCAGTAATGTTAGCTTTTTCTCTCTTTATCATAAACACAGGTAGTTTTGAAGTGATTGCCATCTCAGACAGCTCCAAACTCAAGTTTCCTTGGGGGCTTCATTAAAGGCTGCTTGCTGTTCTTACCCTAGGATAGGAAGGAATCCCAAGCACTTTTCCCAGATTCAGAGATTGAGAGAAAAAGCGCTGCTATCTTAGAAAAATATTTCCTTCTTTGTGTTTCTTCTAAGGATTGCTTATAGAGACTGTAACCTAAGTTTTCTAGTCCATCTGAGAAAATTTTTTAGAAAGCACACGAACAAGCAGTCTATTTGATTAGAAGTACTAGTAGTTTCTAAGATGTAGGAGTCAAGGAAGCGGAGAATAAAATTTCAAACTACTTTCACCCCAAATCTTCTATATCCTCAGAAGAGGGACACTAGGATGAGCACACCTTCCCCAGGTCTTGGTGAGACAATTGCTAAAGGTCTACTGTTGTAGACTGGTGACTTTTGACAAAGTTGCAATAAGGAAAGACAAGAAAATAGAAAGTGCATCTCTAAGGGAATAGTTTACCAAAATATTAAGGGCTCCGACTAGTGGTTAAACTGTATTGATTTATGCTATGCTGGGAAAATTTGTATTTGTAAAACTTTTATAAACTGGACAGCTCACAATTGGGGAAAAGACTAAAATAATGCCAATTAAAACAAGGAACAGAAACTATAGATTAGGTAAAAGAACTTGCAGCCTTAACATTGATTTTTTTGTATTAAACCCTTCTCCAAATTCTTGAGAAACCTGGGCTAGCTGTATTTTTGCCGTCACCTGCATGTACAAGACTGGGCAATCATATCCTCATACTCCTTGTACAAAATATTCCCATTTGCCTCAATCAGAAGGATGCTAATGGGAACATACTTATAAGGGACACAGGAGGGTTGAGGGACACTCTGGTCTACCAGCTCATTGACAAGGTTCTGGATAATGGCGTGATTAGGGGAGTTGAGACCATAGCGTAGTACTCGGGGACAGGTTCCCTTACAATAGTTTGGGGTATAGCGATGAGGAGCAATGATCCAATGATCCCAGCCCAGCTGGTGGAAGCTGACTTGGAAAGGGTAGAGGGAACACTGGTTATTTTCAGGCCCATCATGCTTCCAGGAGGGGCCAGGAACCTCAGACCCAATACTGCCTGCTTGACGCACTCTTCGCAAGAGAAGGGGAGATTCGCTTTCCATAAATTCCTCCAGACCTCTAGAGAGAGGTTTGGCCTTCTGATTGTTTGTATGAGTATCATTGAAATAGAGCAACAAGAAGGCTACATCCAAGGATGAAGTACCACGCCACTGGAGCTGAAGAATCTCACTACGTTTTTGCTGTTGACACATGAAACGGAGGTGAAGGATCCTGCGCCCCTTGTGATTCCAGAGCCTTTGCTGAACATGTTGTGTGATATCCATCTCTGTCCAAGCTTTAGACATCATAGAAGGCTTTAAGGAACTTCCTTCTGAAGAAGGAAAGTGGTTGTCTGGGCTTTTCTGGACCCAGGGCTCCACATGGCAGGAGAGGTGGAAGTGGGTTAGGTGGAGTTGATGACGATAAACCACAGTGGCTCTGACTAGTCGGTATGCTACCTGGTTTGGTCTCAGAGGAAAGTCCAGGTTCTGTGTGTGCCAGGGGCCTGCACAAGTAGAAGGAACAAGAACAGAGTCTTAGTTTCTTAGTTCCTAGCCTGAATCTCCCTCACAAACCTTCTCAATATATACTGGCAGCTATAATTAACACCCATATTAACTCAAGATAATGATAATAGCTATTATTTATTGAGAAATTACTAATGAACTAGATGCTTTACATGCATTAGATCTTTAATCCTCTAAAGTCTAATGAGATATTTATTATACCCATATTATAGATAAGAAATTGAGTCTCAGAGAAGATATGTCAAGAGACACAGTCAAGATTTGAACCCAAGTCTGTTCTCCTTAAAAAAGAGAAACTGTCAGTGCTGGCAGATGGTAGAGTAGTTAAGGTGCTAGACTCCTACATGGTCAACTATGGTTTGAATCCCAGACCCAGTGGCTTGAGAATCATGCTGGGTGTGTGTGTGTGTACATGCCCAAAATTCTACGAGGAGAATGAAGGAGAAGGGATTGCAACATGGCCTCCCCTTAGGGGTGATTCCTCACCCCCCACCCCCCACCCCCGTCTCTCTTCAATGAGTGAAGGTACCCTTTGGCAAAAACCTAAAAAAAGAAGAAAAAATAGAAACTATTTTACTTTTCTGTCACTCAGTGCTAGGCTCAGGGGGAAAAAACCCTCAAATGTAGAATTATTTTGCATATATTATAAACATGTTAGAGAGTCAATCATATTAAATGACTATTAAAGATGATCATTAAGAGAATCATTGAGACATACATAAAGAGAGTCCTGATCATGTCACTATTCAGATGCAGCTCTGGGACAACAATTCAACATTGGGTATTATATCCTGACATTATTTCAAATTCAAGACTAAGACATCACACAATAATTGTGTCTATCCACCCCTAGTAAGGACAGCTATTTTGCCATTTCTGCTTTCCACTAACTTTAATCATCTTCTCCTTGAGCATTTGGACTTTGGGCCAGCCTTCTTTGGCCATTATTTCTTTAACCCTCAATCTCCCTCTCTTCCATTCCTTGCTAGAAATGGTTCTCTATTTATCCCATTTATTTTTCTACCATCCTTTTAAATACTATTTTCAACAAGGCCTTGATCACATAAATATTTTGTTTGCTAAGAAGTCTAATGATAGCTGCATACCCTTTAGTGATTAAGAGCTGTAATCCAAACTGTTCTGCTGACACCCAGTGGCCATAGGATCGAAAAGCTGGGCCTGCAGTGCTCTCAAATTCTGTGCCCTGTCCTAACAGAGGTTGAAAGAAAAGATTATAGGGACCAGCAGTTAGCATAATGGCTATGTGGCTGGACTCCCATGTAATCGACTGTGGTTCACGTCCTGGACCCGATGGCTTAAACTCACACCGGGCGCATGTGCATGTGTGCCAAGGATCCCGAGAGGAGAATGGAGGGAGAGGAGAATGGAGAAGGGATTGTGGTGTGGCCATCCCCCCTGGAGGGTAATTTCTTGCTTTCTGTCTCTCTATCTGGAGAGTGTATGCGCCCTATAGCAAAAACCTCTCCAAAAAAAAAGAAAGCAAAGATTATAAAGACCAGGCATCACAGGAAAAAGTTTTCTTTCAACTTTCAACATTTTATCAGTTAATATTTTCAGCTTAATTTTTTAATTGTCAAAGGGTACCTGGGCTTACCAGAGAAGGGAAGGAACCCCCCAATGGGGTGTGGTCATGCCATAATCCCTTCTCCATTTCTTCATTTTGTTGGGATCTGGGGCGTTTATGTATACATTCTTATACAGTTTTTCAAGTCACCAATATGGGGATTTGAACCATGGCCATCCATATGCGATCTAGCTCCCCTAACCACCAGAGTATGAGCTGGCCCTTTCATGTTAATTTTTATATCATTCACCTTATGTTCCTTCTCCACTTAATCCATAAACCTGGAATTCCTCAGTAGTCCCAAGACTTTCAACATAGAAGTTCTTGATCTCTTGATGTTCTGCGATATTTGTAAAAGTTTAAGTTCCAACTCATGCTTCATATACCCTCAAATTCAGGGCAGTAGACATCATTCACACAAGACCAAAACTAGGTTTGTATTTGATTTCTCACATTATTCCACACTCCCATCTTGAAATGATCTTTCCAAGAGGACTACCCGTATACCTGCTCCACCCTGCCTGAAAAGGAACACAACCCAAACCTCTAGCAGACTGTCTGGTGAGGAAGACCTTTTCCTTCCAGACCCTGACATCACATGTTTCCTGAAGCAGGGTGGAGCTGCTGCTAAGGATCAGAGCCAGAAAGCGTCTGCTCAAAACTTGTCAGTAAAAGAGTTGACTCATACATCCTGTGAGATTAAACCTGTCATCTGCTCTGGATCCTTTCCAGAGTCCCTAAATGCCAGTTATGTTCCACAGTCACACCAGAATATTTACCTAATTCTAAGGCATCCTTCTTTCTAGTCTCATGTGATTTGTATAAACTCGATTTGTGCAGCTTTCTGCTGCACTTAGGAAGTGAACCTAGATCCCTAATCGCAGCCTCCAATCTCCTGCCTCTCTCATCAGCTTGATATCCTGCCACTCTCCACAATGCTCACAAAATGCAAGCCTTACTGACCATCCTTCTGTTCTTCAAGTAGAATAAACTGGTTTCACCCTCAAAGCCTTTGCACCTGTTGTTATCTTGGCCCAAATCAGCTTTCTCTCTACTCTTCTCATGCCTGGGCTAGCACAAGTGTCACCTCCTCTAAGATACCTTCTCTGACAACCCTATAGAAAGAGAATAGCAAGGAAGTATTCCCTATCATAACAATCCATTTCACTCTTTTATAGTACTTACCACAATTTGCAATTATTTAATTGTGTTTGCCTATTTGTATTTCCCATAAGAACATGCTCTATGAGAGTAGGGGCTTTTCTTATATTGATCACAACTGTATAACTAACACTCAGTAAGTACTGAATAAATATTTGCTGAATAAATCTCGACTCATAACAAGTTATTTCCTAAATCAGCTTACTGACCATCCTTCTGTTCTTCAAGTAGAATAAACTGGTTTCACCCTCAAAGCCTTTGCACCTGTTGTTATCTTGGCCCAAATCAGCTTTCTCTCTACTCTTCTCATGCCTGGGCTAGCACAAGTGTCACCTCCTCTAAGATACCTTCTCTGACAACCCTATAGAAAGAGAATAGCAAGGAAGTATTCCCTATCATAACAATCCATTTCACTCTTTTATAGTACTTACCACAATTTGCAATTATTTAATTGTGTTTGCCTATTTGTATTTCCCATAAGAACATGCTCTATGAGAGTAGGGGCTTTTCTTATATTGATCACAACTGTATAACTAACACTCAGTAAGTACTGAATAAATATTTGCTGAATAAATCTCGACTCATAACAAGTTATTTCCTAAATCAGAATGCACTTCTCTGCCTCAATGCAGAGTCTCCTTACTCTTTCTGCAAGGTCAAGTCCAAATACTGCCTTCTCAGTGAGACTTTCTAACAGTCTCTCTGCTTCTCTTCCCTTGCTCCAAGCAGTGAGCCATTTCTTCTTTGAGTTTCTGGGAGCCCTATTGCTTGTTCTTTTCAAATAACTCTTCATCCTCTAACATCACTATGTCATTAACTATTATACTATGCTGGGAGCTCCTAGAGGTCAAAGTAGTAGTTATTGGGTCACAGTAAAAGCCATGATGCATTTTTCTACATTTTTCTATGCAAAAATGTGTTGTGATGTGTTTCTGATGACCCAATATTTGTTTCTGTATATCCAACCCAAGCACAGTGCCTAGTACTTAGGGGAGATCCAGCCATGCTGGTACAGGTGGTAGGACACTGATCTGCAATGCTGGAACCACATGAAAGACCATGGCTTGGATCCAGGATCTACCAGAAACATGCCAGACATGCACATCTGTGGTCCTGTATACCTGGAAGGGAGAAGAGGTGATGATGTGACAAGACCTTGTCCAAAGGTGCCTGTTTCTCTTTCTCTGCCTTTCTGGAAATAAAATAAGTAAACTTTAAAAAAATCTTCTGAGACGCCAACATAGCATGGTAATTAAAGCACAGGCTCTAGGGCTCAAGAACCCAGGTTTGACATCCAGCTCTAGCAATTAATAGTTATGTGACACCAGGTAAGTTATTCTGAGCCTCAGTTTCTTCAACTATAAGATGGGTATATTAATACTACCTACCTCATTTAGTACTGCAAATTAAGGAAGATGTTTATAAAGCATTCTGTGTAATACCTGGCACATAGTAAGCTCACAGCGAGGATTAACTAGAATAATTTTGGTTGTTTTACTTAAAGAGGGGAGTGTAAATATGTCTGTTATCACCTCAGACTTGAAGGCTCCAGATTAATTTCACCAGATTTCTAAGAGTTTGTTAAAGCTGATGGCTGTCAACATTCCCTAGAGAGCCCTTCACTTCAGGAGCCCACTACTCTCCTGGAATGGTATCTAATACAGATGCTTAAGACAGAATGAAGCATTATGGGGACAAAGAAAATTCCAAATCACATTTGGTACCAAAATCTCAACATAGCAACATAACCTAAATACAAAATCTGGTGTACAGGGACATTAAAATATTGTGAAGAAAATCTTGAGAAGTTGTAGACTTTAAAAATCAGACAAACTTGATCTCAAATCTCATTTCTCCCACCCACTGCCCTTATGACCTCTGTAAATTACCTAATCTCTTTATGTCTTAATTTTCTTATCTTCAAAAACTAGGCTAATTGGAACCAGCAGGTTGCGTGGTGGTTAAGGCACCGGACACTCCCACATGGCTGACCATGGTTGGAGCCCCAAACCTGGTGTCTTGCTTTCTCACTTTTCCTCTCTCTCTGTCTCTCTCTGTCAAATTAAAAATAAAGGAATACATAACATTAAATAAATAATTCTTTTTTTTTCTTTTTGGAAAAGTTTATGCTATAGGGCATGTGCACTCACCAGAAAGACAGAGAGAGACAGAAAGCGAGAAATCGCCCCCAGGGTGGCCATGTCACAAGCCCTTCTCCATTCTCCTCTTAGGACCATGAGCACACACACACACGTGCCCAGTGTGAGTTTAAGCCACCGGGTCTGGGACACGAACCATGGTCGACTACATGGGAGTCCAGCGACATAGCCATTACACTAACTGTTGGTTCCAATAAATAATTTTTTAAAAAGAGAAAATTAGGCTAATTGTCCCATAACAGCTACTATCATTAGCTGTTATGGGGATTAAATTAAGGATTAAATACAGCAACAGATGCTCACAGCACCAGATCCTCAGATGTTAGTTGTTTCTGTCCTTTCTGAGGCCTTGTTAGTTTTTGCCCCACCCAGCATCCTGTACCCTTTGCCTCCTAATAACAAAATAATGCATAAATAGCCTTCTACAGAATGTAGCTGGGTATTTCTTAATTATACTTTTCAGAGCTATAACAAACCCTTTTCAGAGCTATAACAAAAATAAGACTTCTTTGAGAGATAGGGGCCAACACATCACTCAGTTGTCCTAGCATCTGGGAGAAATTTCTCAGTAGGTCCCAAGTAATTTCTTCTTACATTGGTGCCTTAATGGTAAGTAGGCTTGAAGCCAGCTTTTCCCATGCTCACCATGCTTTGAGAACTAGACCTGAGAAAACAACCCACACACCAGGCAATGAGACCTAGCTGTAAACCCTTACATTCCCTTTTCTCTTCATTATTCTTTTCCATTTCTTTCCCCCCCAAGATAGATGGAATTGTAATAACTCACCTCTGAGAGGTCTTGCTACATTGGCCATGGGCCTCACCAGCCTCACCATGGTGGCTCCTATGGTGCGATTCTCCCTGGGATGTCCATATAGGTCAGCTGAACGGTGATACAACTCCAGCATGTACCGCAGGGGATGCCCTAGAACCTGTGGCTTCTTATGCTCCTTGCCAGGGGCTTCATCTAGCAGCTCCTGAATCAAGGGCAAAGTAGGGGCCTCAGTCAAGAGGGCAATAGAGGACTGCTGCCCTGTCTTTGACATTTGGACCTTGTGTTCCAAAAAAAGCACCAGTCCCCAAAGAAGAATGATTCTAAGGATGCTGAAGAGGGCCATCTTGAAAGGCTTTGTGTTTAGCAATTGACTCCAACCCAAGCCCAAAGGATGTCACTCTGACCGGTTCCTTTCAAGCAGGTAACCACATCTAAGTTCCACAACTACCAAAGATGGGACAAGTAAAAAAGAAATGCAGGTAGCTTCTATGTTGTTTCTTCTGGGAGGACCTCCTGAGCCAAGGAAGGTCTCCTAACTTGCCCTCTGTACATCAAAACGAACAGCAGATGGAATAAGACAGTGCACCCCTCCGCCTCTCTAGAGCTGGCAACTATATAGTACTTATTTGGAGGCTGAGGTAACTACAAAGGAGAGGTTCATACCAGAACCTACTCCTTCACCTTATCCACTTAAGATGGAAAAAAAGCAGCCCTATCCTATTCTACCATACAGCTTTAAAGGCAGTCCCTTAATCAGTCCTTAAAGGGCCAGATGCCTCCTGCTCCCATCCCACTTACATGCCTTTAATGAAGCATTTCTCAAAATATGGTCTACTGATAACAGGCAGAGAAACTATCCAAGGTGACTATGAGGAATGCAGATGCCTGGATCTGGACTCAAACACAGACTTTTTCAGGTGCGTCCAGAAATCTGGATCTTATCAAGTGCCCCAAGAAGTTTCTGTAAACACTAAAATGTAGAAATTACTGTGTGAATGTGACTGCTAGAGCTTGAAGAAGATGCCTCAACAGTGGTTCTCAATCTTGGCTATACTTTGAAATCACCTGAGGAACTTTAACTATTACAGATGGCTGGGCATCATTCCCAGAGGTTCTGATGTAATAGGTTTGGGGTGTTACCAGGACATCAGGATTTTTTTTTCAAGTTTGTAGTGATTTTAAAATACAGCCAAATTTGAGAATTCTGTCTTGGAATTTTCTGGTTTACCTTGGAAAGTATTGAGATCATGAATGGGCTTCATGGGGAAAGCCTGAGATCGTTGAAGATAAATTCATGGGAGCTCTCCTAGATCAGGTGGTTAATGTAGCAGGGCTGGGCCAGTTTGTTATGGCTGCCACAGGCTAGGATTCTGCAGAAAAATGGTAGGTGTAGTCTAGCCTTGTCCAAGTAGAAGCAGATTCTTGGGTTTCTGGAGAGAACATGGTTCATGAGGTTGACATAGCTCTAGGAGATAATGAGACAGATATGATTTGTAGGAGGCCTTTACCTCATACCAAGAATATCAATGGATAGGCAATATTACTACAGAACAAGCATGAACTTTGTAATCAGACAGAACTGTGTTTGAATTGTGATTTTTGGCTGTTATGCACTGTAACTTAACCTTTTCAGGCAAATTTCTTCACTTCTCTGAAACTCAGTTTCCTCATCTGTAAAATGAAGATAACATGATTTACCACATGGGTTGATGTGAGGACATCGGGAAATAATCTATTAATGATATATGGTTACATGTTTAAAATTATTTATCTTTTTTTTTTCTAACATGACCTTGGGCATTCGCATGTAGAGTAAAACAAAAGGCATAGGACGCAGGGGATCCTATAAGATCTAGAAACCAAATCTCAGCTCAATAGCTTGCTAGCTGGATGACTTTAAGCAATGATCCTCCCAGCCTTACTTTCTTCATCGACACTGCTGGCTCCTTCAGAGTACTGTATTGTTTTGTACATTTTATTATATACATTTATATTGTATGCAATAATATACAAGAAAGGGATATAGTCAGATGATACGTGGTAGGCAAAACCTGAATGTTCAAAATATATGAAAGATGTAATAGAAATCAGAAAAACACAGTTGAAAAATATGTAAGATAGGATTCCACACTGATTTCATTAGCAACATATTAAAAGTCAGACATTTTTTAATTAAATTAATTTTTATACCTTCAATTACTACATATATCATTAGTGTACAAAATGAATTTCCCCCTGCACAAATACACTGTATTAGTCCAGTCAAAGATATTATCATACACAATATAATCAACAGATAATTTTCCATTTTTATGTCCCTTAAATATTTTGCTCCTTTTTTTTCTCCTTGATTCCTTTCCTCTCACCCTCCCCAACTCCTCACTCTCCTCACATACTGTCTCTTGGATACACAATTATTCTACAGGTTTTTATATCTTCCAATCTTTCAGTTTCTGCCATAAAGTGCAGACATTCAGTACATAGTGAGTAGGGACATATGATACCTCTCTTTCATAGTCTTGTTTTTTTTTTGTTTTTTGTTTTTTTTTTTACTTATTAGAAATCTAGTGAGTAGGGACATATGATGCCTCTCTTTAATAGCCTTGGTAATTTCACTTATTAGTAAATCTTCCACATTCATTAGCTTTCTTTCAAATGCCTGAGTTTTTATTTTTCTGTCTTAGTAATATCCCGTAGAGTATATGTGCCATGCTTTTCCTTTTTTTATAATAATTTTTATTTTATATTTATACATTCAATCACAATATTTAATTTACAAAGTGAACATTTCAATACGTGAACATTTCTTTCCAATCTAGTTGATCAAAACATCTTCAACAGATAACACCACTACCTCTCCATCCCATCAATACTCTGTCCTCGTATCCCTCCTCCAAATGTTCTTCTCCAAGCTCCAATCCTCCACATACACCACATCTGGCAATCACATTCATCTCTTGTGTTTGTACATCATTTAGTCAGTCGGTTTCAGTTATAGAGTGTAGACACTTGGTATAATATTAAGTGGGGACATACAATGTCTCTCCTTCATAGCCTGATTTGCCTCATTCAGTAGTAAATCTTCCATAATCTTCCATTTTCTGTCAAAAGCCAGGGTTTTGTTGTTTTTTAATGGCTGAACAGTATTCCGTAGAGTGTATGTGCCACAGTTTTCCAATCCATTCATCTGTATGGGGGCATCTGGGTTGGTTACATGTCTTAGCAATCATGAATAGTGCAGCAATGAACATCGATATGCAAGCACTTTTCTGATGAAGAAGTCTTCTGTCCTTTGGGTAGATACCAAGGAATTAGATTGCTGGATCATATGGTAGTTCTGTTTGTAGATTTTTGAGGAATCTCCAAATTGTTCTCCACAGTGGCTGGACCAATTTACATTCCCACCAGCATGTAAGAGAGTTCCCCCTTCATCACACCCCCACCAACACTTATCATTATTTGTTTTTTTTTTTTTTTAACTTAGACATTCTGACTGGGGTTAAGTGTCATTCTGACTGGCGTTAAGTGTCATTGTTGTTTTGATCTGCATTTCCCTTACGATGAGGGATGTTGAGCATTTGTTCATATGCCTTTTGGCTATTCATATGTCATCTTTAGACAGTGTTTTTTCAACTCCTTCTCTCATCTTTTAATAGGGTTGATCATCTTTTTTCCAAACAGCTTCTTGAGTTCCTTGTGTATTATGCTTATCCATCCTTTATCTGATGCATAAATTAAAAAATATTTCCCATTTTGAGGGCTGTTGATTCACACTAATTACTGTGTCTTTTGCCACGCAGAAACTTTTTAGTCTGATGTAATCCCACTTATTTATTTTGGGGATTATCGATTGCTTTGAGGGTCTTATTTAAGAAGTTTTTTCCTACCACAATGTCTTCTAGAATTTCCACCATGTTTTCTAGGAGAAGTTTTATAGTTTGAGGTCTTAGATCTTTGATCCACCTTGACTTGATTTTTGTCAAAGATGAGAGGTAGGGGTTCAGATTCATCTTTCAGCAGGTGGAAATCCAGTTTTTCTAGCACCATTTGCTGAAAAGGTTTTCCTTTTCCCACTGGATTGACTGTTGGGGTTGATTTCTCGCTTTCTGTCTCTCTGTCTCTCTCTGTCTTTCTGGCGAGCGCACGCGCCCTATAGTGAAAAAACTCTCAACAAAAATTTAAAAAATTTTTAAAAATCAGTTGACTGTATGTTTGGGCATTTATTTCTGGAGATTCTATTCTATTCCATTGGTCCACATGTCTGTTTCTGTGCCAGTACCACACTGTTTTGATTACCACAGCTTTGTTGTATATTTTTGGGTCAGGGAGTGAGATGCCTCCCATTCCACTCTTCTTCTGCAGAATTGTTTTTGCAATACGAAGTCTTTTATGATTCTAGACAAATTTTATGATCGTCTTTTCTAGATCTGTGAAGAATGTGTCTGGTACTTTGACTGGCATAGCATTAAATATGTAGATTAGTTTGGGTAGAATTGCCATTTTGATTATATTAATTTTTCCAATCCAGAAATATGGGATGTCCTTCCACTTTTTATGTGTCATTTTCAATTTCTTTTTTTAGTTTCTTGTTTCCCTTGTGGAAGTTTTCAACTTCTTGGGTTAGATTCATTCCTAACTATCTTATACTTTTGGTGGCTATGGTAAATGGAATAACTTTTTTTCAGTGCTATCTCAGTCTGCCTGTTACTCATATATAGAAATGCTATCGATTTCTGTATATTGATTTTATATCCTGCAACTTTACTGTGTTCATGTATTACTTCCCGTAATTTTTCCATGGAGACCATTGGGTCTTCTATGTATACTATACTGTCATCTGTGAATAGAGTTTCACCTCTCATTTCCTATTTGAATGCCTTTTATTTCTTCCTCTTTTCTGATTGCACTGGCGATGGCTTCCAGTACTATATTATAGAGGAATGGAGAAAGTGGGCATCCTTTCTTGTACCAGTTTTTAGTGGGGAAGCTTTAGGCTTTTCTCTATTCAGGATGATGTTCGCTATGGGTTTTTCATAGATAGCTTTTATTGTGGTGAGAAATGACCCTTCTATGCTGATTTTGCTGAGCGTCTTGATCATGAAGGGATGTTGAATCTTAACAAATACTCTTTCTGCATCAGTTGGTATGACCATATGTTTTTTATCTTTATTCCTGTTTATATGATGTATTACATTTATGGTTTTGTGTATGTTGAACCAACTTTGCATTCCTGGAATAAAGCCTACCTGATCATGGTGTATGACCTTTTTTATAAGTTGTTGGGAACAATTTGCTAGTATCTTGTTGAGAATCTTTGTGCCTATATTCATCAGAGATATTGGTCTACAGTTTTCCTTCCTT